GCGCTGCGGGGCCCGAGTCATGCCGAGCGCCACGCGACTCACCTCGCAGTCCTCGGCGACCGGCGCGGCGCACAGCGCGTTCACGGAGGTGATGGCCCCTCGGTTTCTATCTTTACTCTCTTTCGGCGCTACGACCCCGCGCCGCCGCGCCTGTTAACACAACCCCCCCTCTCTCCACCCCTTTCTCGCCCCACCCTCCTTACCGGCCGCAAGAAATGTCAAGGTGACGTAGTAGTAATTTTTCATTATAGATTTATTCCGTTGTTTTTTTTTTGTTGTTTTTTTCGGCCGAGTTGGCAACCCTGGCCGTTATCTTACCTCCTGCTGGCTGCTGGTATGGGCCGGGTGGCACCACCACCACCCCTACCCCTGAGCGACTGTTTGCCGAGTGACGTGATGTGAGGTTGGCGGGCGAGTGTGGCGGGTGGTAGTAGGAGGGCCACTCCGCTCGGGCCGCTCTGTTGGCCTGCGGACAATTACCCGCGCCGATGCGATGCGCCCGGCTCGCGGTTTGCACTCGCGCAGGGGGGGGGGGGGGGGCCTTATCTGAGCCGGTGTGCCATTCCGCTCAACTAATACTCTGTGGTTGCAAAGAGTTTTCTGCGGGTGGCAAACAGGGCGGCGTGACGTCGCGAGCGGGGCGATGTCTTGTCGGCGCCCCGCCCGCTGCTGCAAACGTGTATCTTATATTCTTCTCGTGCCTTGGATTAGAAGTGTTGTTGGGGATAGTCGAGTGGAAAACTACCAGACGGATTACTCGTTGAAGATAATGTATTTCCAATTAGGAGACTAAAAAGGTATTTACATTTGTCATTCCGAGCGGGATGCGAAAAATGTTCGCGGATCGCCCTTTTCATTTGTTTGCAATCCGCGAAAGGCTGCATCCCGCTCGGCCCGATACAAAATAACACAGGTAGTCACGCAGTCTGTACAATGTGTATACATTACAGTGAAGGATCCCTCGTCAGTTTTTCTCAGTCTTCGAATGAACGATCGCCACACCATAACAGACAACAGTGGCAATGTTCCGTGAAGTATGCATCTCATTGTATAAAACGCATCGTTAGGCAGTATTATGTTCTGTAAAATGCCAGGTTTTAAACATCCTGGTTCTTTCAGCAACTGACGAGCTATTCCGATCTCACATATATAAAAAGTTATTTACAAATCTTAAGTAGGATATTCCTCTGTATCCGGAGTTCGGAAAGAAAAAATGGAATAAAGATGTAAAGAAGTGTCAAACCGCATAAGTCGTCCTGCATTCTGAAATAAATAATACAAAGTTAAGAGATAACCAAAAACGTCATCTCAAACTATACCGAATTTTCATCTGTCACTTATTTACATCTTAATTTTGTCATTTGCACTTTCGAGATTCAGCGAAATACCCTTCACTAAGGTAAAAAAATACAATCAAATATCGGACGCTTTTATCACAAAAAGATCATCATGTCTATGAGCAAAATTGGTGTCTTCGCAACATGCACGCGTAAGGGCTTAAACGATAAGAAATAAATTACTATGTTACATTATTGGCTTTGTTTTGGCTCTGTCTCCCTGCCGCCCGGCGGTGGGCCGGCTTCGGCCACGGAGGTCACTGTCCTCCTCGGCAGAGACTTAAGTTTTATGACCCGGCTGCTCCTGTCGGATCGACACACAATATTCCCCTAACATGCCCCGCTGGGACGCCTCGGCCGGGCCGTCCCGCCGCAGCAGACCATACAGTTCGTGCGGCGTGGGACCGTTGTCGTCGACGTGCACCCGCCGTGGGCCGTGGGAGGCTCCTCTCGCTCGCGCACGTCCAATGACATCGTCAAACACTTTTGCAAAGGACGTTTACTCCGACGGTACGCAATTCGCGGTAATTCTTCTCACTTGCAGATGGCGGCGAGCTTGCGGAGGACGGGGTGACCCCGACGTCGATAATCGGCGACCATTTACCCCGGCGGCACCCGGGTCCTGCCCGGACCGGCCCGCTACGAGGACCTGACGGCCGGCGGCTCGTCGCCAGCCTCCCTCATCGTCCTCCGGATCCACTCGAGGTTGGAGGACACCTTGTCGTAGACTCGCGGCCGCTCGGCGCTGGGCGTCTTGCTGCAGGCGACGCGCCAGCTGCTGACGCCGGCCAGCGTCCAGCTCCGGCCCGGGCCCGACTGGCAGACGAG